ACTGGTGGTTCACAAGAAAATTTGGGTGGTCCGTGGAGAAATTTGAACATTGATCAACTGAAGGTTACTCGAAGTTATAAAAGAAATGCAAAATGTTTAGTTGCTTTTTTCACTCATTGGGGTTTTTTATTCGAATCTCAAACTAAAAACAAAATGACTGTTATCAATAAATAATGAACGATAAACAATATTGTGAGTGTGATTGTCATCCTTTGTGGAAAAGTGCAAAGATCCATAAACTTGTTTCAAACAAGCAGCAATGAACTTTAGGCTTGCATTAATTTGTTATAATTAAACATGCGAGTTTCATATTAATATAGTAAAATTGAACTTTTGTGATCATTATTCTACAGATTTTGTATTGTTTAAAAAATTGATGGTAATGGTCTGCGAATTGTGACTTTAGTGGTCTGTGAGGGGAGAAAGGTTGCCGATTGCTGCCCTAGAGAATGTGATTTTGACATGTAAAAGATTTACAAGAACTTTCAAATTGGCTTTCTTGTATTAAGGATCTTATACATCTAGCTTATTACATTTTGAAACAAAATCTTGTATGTAGCAACTTTTTAGAAAAAAAATTTAATTTTTTGTAATAATAATTAGGAATTTAAAGCTTTTGGTGAAATTGTATGTGCATAGCAACATTGAACTGAAAGAAAATGTTAATGTTGGAGTGGACAATTTTAAACTGCCTTGCAAGTAAACTTGGGATTTTTAGTGCTATTTGTCATAAATTCATGTTTGTGAAGAAAATGCATTAATAGTTCCAGTACAGAATACTCTGTATTGAAGAGGCTGTCCATAAATGATGTCTCACCTCATGGTGAGTAGTAGTAGTTGAGAATGTGATACAATGTGATGAGAGGAGAAATGATCCCTATGATATCACATTTCACATTTACCATTAATCAGTATCATATATGCTTTTTAAATAAAATATGTCACACTTAAAATACATAAAAATTTAGTTTTTGTACTTAACTTTATGTAAAAACACTAAGAGATATAACAAAAATAAATTTGCATCATATAGTTACTTTACAATGGCTAGTAACTAGAGTTACCAAACATTGGTATTTAGTATGGACAGTCCATACTTTAAAGTATCTGTAAGTGTTCGTGCTGTATTTGGAAAAAATAAACAAAATGGCCGTACTTTTCAACTGATTGTGCCATTAATAGTTAAAACATAACCAATGAGATTTAAATCTGATGAAAAGTGCTAAATTTTTTATTATTATTGTATTTGTTGGCTAGGTGGCAACATTGCACAAGCAAATGTAATGGTCTGTTACTTTGCAAATGTCTGTTACTACAATGCAAATGTCTGTTACTTTCCCCGCATTTCTTTATACAGTGCTCGAGAAGCACTTTACAGTGAACACACTGAAACTGATTTCTAATTGGCCAACACTGCTCGTGATGTCATTTTACTACACTCTGGCTGCATAAAGAAATGCAGGGTTAGAGAACGTGCACATTCATTATAACAGATTTTTTAATTTAATAATACTTGTTGTTTAAGTGGTAAAATAGTTTTCTTATATTTAAAATTGTATTCGGTACCCCAAAGGAAAGTGTAAATTGAAATTTTATATTATATGCCTTCATTTAATTGAAAAATATTAGATTGAAAAATATAAGATTGAAAAATATGAATAAATTACTAGATTGAAAAATATGAATAAATTCCTTTTACTTTGTTTTGTTATCTGAGTACTTTTAATGCTAATCTGTTTGTATTTTGCCTTCAAATGTTGTGGTAACCCTACTGGTAACAGAATCTGTTATAACCAAAGAAAAGTGATTGGTGCAATTTCTATGACTACAATTGTGTGGAATTTACATTATCAAATTTTCAATAATTTTATGTTATAAATGACTCATCAGTTCATGCTTTTACAAATCTGAAGAGAAACAAGTATTATAATAACTAATATTATGAAATTGTTAGGTTGTTATGGAGTCATAGATTGTCTTTATGTTTAAAATCTGTTGAGTTAAACAAGTTAATTTGTGATCAGACTGTGATCAAAAAGTATCAGGAATGATTCATTTAAACTGCGCATGTACGAGAGGCTGCTTCATCGTATTCTTTTCTTGTTTGATGAGACATTGACATCTAGCAGCAATATGTATTTTGTCATTTTTCATTTGCAAATAAATGGTTGTTTTGCTTGTAAAGAATTGTGCTAGCAATTTTTCAAGATGTCTAGTGTAATTGAACAAAGAATGTGCATTAAATTTTGTTTTTCAACAGAATTACTCCTACAAAAACACTGGAAATGTTACAAAAAGTCTTTAGTGAAGAATATATATATATCAAAAACAAGAGTTTTCAAGTGGTACAAGATGTTCAAAGAAGGCAGAGAATGTATTGAAGATAAACCACACTCTGGTATATCATCCATTTCAACTGATGAACAAGACATTGCTTGAATCAGAGATTTGGTGCTCATTGATTATAGTTTAACAGTTAAGGACATTATTGAACATATTCCAGTATCATTTTAAAAGATCATTTGGGCTTGAGATGTGTTGTTTTTTTGAGTTGTCCCAAAAATGAACATTTTCCAAAAACAACATGTTCTAATAGCTGAAGAAATGCTTTCTGAAGGCAAATAATTCTTAAAACGCATCATTATGGGTGATGAAACATGTATCTATACTTTTCAGACTGAAACAACTCAACAATCGAGTGAATGGTTCTTGAAAGATGAAGCAAGACTGGAAAGACCACATCAAAGTCAGTCAAAAATCAAGGCCATGTTGACTGTTTTCTTTGATTGTCATTGTGTTGTGGATCATGAATTCCTTCTGACTAGCCAAGCTGCCAATAAAGAATATTTGACCATTTTATGTTGTTTGCATGAAGCAATTCATAGAAAATGACTATATTTGTGATGAGAAAACTCATGGATTTTGCACCACAATAATGCACCTGCTAACAATCATGAATTTTTGGCCAAAAATTCACAAATGGTTCTACAGGCTCCATATTTACTCAAAGACTGTTTCTTTGACTAAAATTTCCACTTTGTGGTCACTGTTTTGAGTCAATTGATGTCATAAAACAAAATTTGCTGCAGGTCCTGAAGTGATTTGATGAAAACAACTTTAAAGCATGTTTCAAGGATTGAAAAAAACATTGGCATAAGGGCATTGAAGTAGAGGGGATTACTTTAAAGGAAAAAAAATAAATTTTGATGTATAAATTCAAATCTTGTGTTTTATTGAACCATTCCCAATACTTTTTGATCACGGGTATGTGTAGAACTTCTATATCCATCTGGGCACAGGACTCTGAACCAAGCACACATTACAAGTATTTGCAATTTAAGCAGTTATTTACTATTTTCGACTTGTTAAAAATGTTTGTTGAAATTTTTTAAAGTTTACAGTTTATTTTCAGAATATTATCAAAGAAAAAAGAAATATGGAGAAATGCCACTTGATGTTTTTTAAATCTGTAGACTACAGTGTCTCTCATGGATTGGAGGGAAGCAATTTTTGAATTTGTTTGGAACACTTTAGTTTGGAATGTAATGCAGAAGGTGTTGAATGGATGGATGTTGACAATATAGACATGACTGGACAAAGCATTCCTACAGACACATATGCCTCCAACATTCTCATTGTGTTATTTGAAAAACATCTTACAAACCCATTAGAGTGAAATAACTTGCTAGCAAGTTGTAGCAAAAATAAAATTTTGGTTAATGTGCTATTGTTATGTAGTGCTTTATTTTAATAAAAGTATAAATCATTTATATTAATGTCCATTGCATAATTGATGCAGTGTGTTTGTTATAATAATTCAAAGGCTTTGTTCAGGAGTGACAACCAATGTGATATCATTTGCGAGGGAGGCTTTGTCATAATGTGACTTGAGAGGGAGGGGGATTAAAAATGTGGAATTATTCATGAAATCATTTATGGATGGTCCTAAAACTATACTATATCAGCTCATATGAAAAATATGCAGTCTCTGGTAATTGAAATCTATTTCATAGTATTTTAAAAGAAGAAAACATTGTAATGTTAAAGAGGAAAGAAAAAAATAGAAGATATTGATACTATATATAATTTAAAAATAATGTTTAAAAAAATTATTTCAATGATTTCTGATTTATCAGTATTTGTTAATTAGGACCTCAGTTAATTATTAAAATATTAAATGCTTAAAAAGCTAATCAAAAGTTAAATTTTATATTTTAATTAATATGAAAACTTTCACTGTATAATTATATGTAAATATCTATAATGTTACTTAGTTATCATTTTAACTGGATAAAGTATAATTTAAACTAAAAAAGCTTAAAATCCAATGGGAAGTTTTGGAGAAATGTTTTTATTCATTTCTTAAGACTCCTTGTCATCTTCAAGTTTGAGACTCCAATTGAAAGTGTTTGTTCTTCGAAACTTCCTGCTAGATTGTAAAGCATCCATGATTTAACTTATTAGCTATCATGGACATANAATCTTTTATTTGAGAATATGAAAGTACTTTTGGTAATCATAAAAATACAATACATATTCTACAAATAAAAATTTAAGTCAATGTTTGATGGAATAGTTTCAAGTTAATAGAAATATTTAGAAATTTTTCACTAATTTATGAAGAAATAAAATAAAGAAAAATTGTTTAATGCAAATTACTCTCACTTTGTATAGTTTAACAAAAACTAACCTTTATTATGTATGTATGTATCAAGGTTATAAAATATGCAGGAACTTATGGACTGACCTGATATTAAGAAAATATTTGTTAAAAGAATAAAGATGAACTCACATTTTTCTTTTAAAGCTAACTTAAGAAAATTTTCTTTTTTCTTTTCATGAGAAAGGGAAAGAAGTGGGAAATAAAAGAAAATAAATTTTTTAAAGTTTAGATGACTTTTAGTTCATATTAGAAAATGGTTTGAATTCATCATTAAATAATTTTAATATTTTTTTAATATTTAATTAGATAATTATTAAGATATATTTTATAAACTCACCGCTTTCTTTTATGTCTCTGGGAGGTTTAATGATATCTGACATAATTACATTTTCTTTTCCATATATTTTCCTTCAAAATAAAAGTAATAAATTAAAATCATCTTCAACTATAATTGAAAACAATTAGGGTTAAATTTTTACATATAAATTATTTAATGGCATATCCAAGATTTTCAGAATATGAGTGCTGCTTAAGGTAGATTTAGGAGGAACCGAGGCACTTGAGCCTGTAATTTTTTGGAGAATGATACTCAATTAGCTTAGAATTATTTTAGTTACTTAATTGAAGTCATGCAATATGCATTACTACATTTATTTTTATTTTAAAGCAGTGATTCTCAAACTTTTTCGATCCACCGCCCCCTTTGTTCCATAAAGTTATACCCAACGCCCCTAACCCATTTTCTCTTGTGTGAGAAAAGGATTGGAAATATTCTTAGGAAAACTTTTCTATGAATCACACACTTTGTGCCCTTACTGTACATTGTTCTCATCATCTGGAAACCATTAAACGCAATGTTTCCTCTTATCAGCCCCAATTTTGCCTTTGGTCACCGTTCAATACCCTGCCTCTAGCGCCGCCCAGATCTATTTATCGCCCAGAAGGGGGCGTTATTGCTTACTTTGAGAAACACTGAGCTAAAATAAAAGTAAATGTGTTAGAAATATTCAAGTTGTGACCTTCAATAAAAAATAAAAAATATATAAAATGTCAACATTTTATATATATTCCGTCGAATTTTTATATATAGAATTTGTCTGCCGTTGCCCCTCTATATTTCCTTAACGCCCCCCAGTTCTCTTTGAGCCTTCTACTGCCCTCCTGAAAGCCTCCAGCGCCCACAACGGGACGTTATCGCTCACTTTGAGAAACGCTGTTTTAAAGTAACAAAACGAATTGCTTTAGTATCAATGGTGTGTGTCAGCATCATAAGCACTCCCATCTGGATAATCTGGATATACCTCTCAAATTAATGTGTTATTCATAATTTGATCATAAGTGAATATAAATTTACAATCAAATAAAATATAAATTTTTATTTTTCCTACCTTAGTGATTTTGCTAATCCAGTCCCAAGTTGTCCAAGACTTCCTAAAAAAGTATTAAATATTTAATTTAATAATGTAATATAAAACATTAAACATAAAACACAGAATTCACAGAAGACATTAATTTCCATTTGGTTGTTTATTTCATTTTATTTGTAATTTATTCTTACCTTGTATCAAGAGAGAGAAAGATTGATGAATTTAATGTGATATTGGGAACGGGTTGACAAGTGACAAAAAAATTGGGAACTCATATTTGATACTATCTAGAAATCTTAATTAATTGCAATTACTTTGTAGTTCCGATGAAACAGAGAATGATTTATTTAGCTGCATTACATGCTATGGTATTTCATCTTGTAATGAAACTTAAAACATTCGAAATATTTACTAGAATGTTATTGAGAAATTGTTTATCTGGACTATTGTACCTAGACATATTTCAATTCTTTGTTGATAAATTTGTAATTAAATAAAGCAATAACCGATATATTTCAGAAAAAAAAACTATTAGTTTTACAAGTGAAATTAATTATTTGACCAGAACAAAAATAGTTATAAAGAAAGACTACATAATCTAGTTAAAGTTCCATTTGGGAGGGGGAAAAAACATCACACAATATTCTGTACAAATTAATTTTTTATTTTTAATGGATTCACAAATCCAAAATATAGCAAGTGATAAAAATTCTCTTTTAAATTTAAAATCCAATTCATTGAGATTTGATTTAAACATTATAAATTTAGATTTTCCACAAAATTCCAGTAGATATTTAATCAACAGGATACTAATCAATACCATACTTTGAGTGAAAGAAATAAAATAAA